GGTTCATGGGGTCACGAAGAGTCGGACACGACTTAACGACTAAACAACAACAACAAACAATCAGAAAGTTCCTAAGCAGAGCATCTGATTCTAACTAATGAAAACTTCTGGAGGCATGACAGAAGCTCTCTGGTTGTCCTGCAAAAGATAAGAAGTGCTTGGGGGAGCAAGTTCCTACAAAGTTTTCACTCCAGAAGTAGATTTAATACATCACATATCCCCTAAGGAGAAACAGGGAAGGTCTGGTTATGAGAGCCTTGTGATACAATCTTTCTCTGTTGGCTGTCAAATGGAAAAGATGAAGGTAGGGACCAATTGTCTGCCAGAGACCAATTATTTCTGTATAAAGTAAAGCTTGCTGGAAGGAAAGGGGATGGACGTATGTGAAGGCCTACTTACTATGTGCAGCTTTACCACAGTGAGAAGAATAATATTCGCATCCCTTTAGAATCAGAATTCTGAAAATCAGTCTGATTGGCTGAGTTTGGGAGAAAGGCTGGACTTTGAGATAATACTTTGGGAGTTCAAGTGTTTTTGGGGCTGCAGGGTGAACTTAGTTTCACAAAGAGAAGAAGAAGGCAACCAGCGGCAAGGTGGATGGACTCAGTTGCAATGGGGGCATCGTTGGAAGACCCGAAGGACCAGGTTAGGGGCAGATTGTCATGGAGAAAATCTATCTATGTGGTCACTAGGAGTTGTCAGTGACTTGATGGCACATAATCATTCAATCAGTCCTGCCCTCTTGGCCCAACGGAAACCACACTGAACCGTACTGGCCTGGCCTGAAAGCTGTGGAAGTGATTAGTCTGGAATAGACGTTGAGAGAGCGTAATGAAATATATGGGCCTACCAAATGTATACTTGTGTAAATGTCTTGAGCATAACCCAAGTTTACAACACTTTCATGTTGGAATCCAAGCCCTCTCCTTCACAGCTGGTCCTCTTTCAGTGGTGGGGAGGAAGGAGACGGATTCAAAACTGATTGACATCCAAGCAGCTTCCAGTGGCTTTGTTCCTGCTTGCCAGACTGCCCACTTTTCTGGAACTGCATTTATCTGTCTCCCAGCAGAGCCCTGATGCTTCTGCTTCCTGTGCATTCTTAGTATGTGCTTCTGACTATATTGTGTCCCTGATGTCCAAGGTTACCGTTACACTTGGCTATAAAATTGCCTGTTAAGATACAGTCCCTGCAATGCCTGCATCCTAAGGGGGTGAACAGTGATCTTCCTCTAGTTCAGAGGGGCTGCAAGTCATGTTCCTGACTGGCTGGCAAGCTGCAGAAGACTCTCCAGCGGTGTGCAGTCATCGCTGGAAAGGGCAGGACTGAACGCTTTAAACTATGGGGCGATTGAGGGGGGCAATTAGGAATGGGGCAGGGGGAAAAGAGTTGGGGCGTAGCGGAGGAGCTGGCCTGGTGAGAGCATTTTGCAAACAATTTGGCAAGAAACACTGTGGAGAAGTTTGGTGAAGTAAGGCCTTGCAACCAAACAAAAAGCTGGAAGGGGAGGATCTTAGAGGAAAGGGGAAAGAGAGGTGGCTGAGAGGTGAAGGGCTTTAAATCAGGGTTCACGCTGTGGCTGATGGATGGTGGCAACCAGGAAAAAAGGAGCTGAGCCTTTGTGCTGTTCCTCTGCTTCCTGTGGAAAAATTGGGACTGGCTGCTGCTGGAGACAGGATGCTGGATTTGCTGAATGCGTAACATGACTCAGCCCCAGAGATGCTCGGTGCCCTCTGTTCTGTGGCTGCAGGCTGGCCAAAGTTCGTTTGTGAGGGCAGGCTTGGAGCTGAGGTGTGCCAAGAAGTCACCACGCTTCCCCATCCCACCTGATCCTCCTGTTGCAAGGCTGGCTTGGCCTGGCCTGGCCAGGCCTGGGCCCTCCGCCCTCCGCCTCCTGGGTGATTCTGCTTTCCCCTGTCACCGTTGCTGTGCCTGGGCAGGTTCCTCTACCAGTTTCCAAATGTAATGGCAGATGGCAGGGCTTTGCGATTAAGTCATGGATTTCAAGAGAGAAGCCCTTCTAGCTTTGCAGCTTGGTCTCCCTCCCA